TGAGGAAGCTTGTTTGAATATGAAAGATTGCATCCAGATCGGATCCCTCCGAGATGCAGAAGCAGGCAGTGGATGGTTTACCACTCACGAGCTTCAGCTCTAGATGCGCCATGCATTAGGCTCCCACGCAGAGGTAGGGAGATGATGCAGCTTCTACGTGATGTGCGAGCGTACATATGGGTCTATCTCAACTCAATGATACTGTAGCATAATTAATCATTTTGATTTTTTGTAGTCCTACTGGCACATTTGCATTTCCCCCACCCCCATCTCAGCGCTCAACGACTACCCCCACCCTTCCTATTGACAGAATCCCCAACGATGATGTGCCCTGAGTGGAGAGAAGAGGGGTATATTATGCTTCTGAAAAGGAAAAAAATCATTCACCAAAATTGTTTCGGATTGCAATTTGCCCTATGTAGTGTCTTAAACAACGATGATGTGTTAAGGAGTAGTGGAATGAAAGGTCCAAGGCCCAGATTGAAGGTATCCTGTTCATGGTGGGCATCGTTAGCTTTTCGCATGATGCACGTAACAGTATATGCCAGGCAGCTTGTACAGGGGAGGGGCAAAAAAAGACACTTCGGTCGAGTCACATATCAGCAAAGTTTTCGCAGCCCAGACAGAGGACGTGGATACGAGTACCAGGGCGGAAGATGTTCCTCGATAAGCAGGAGCTGGCTCTCGCCCATCACCTTCATGTACACCAAAATATGAAGTCATCTCCAGTCGCAGCCTGACTGGAGAAGACCTTTGGAATTCATGTCACCTCCAAACAGCTGCGAAACTTCTAGTATGGTCACCCATGGATAGCTACCTGGAGACCAGTACTCTCGATCTGGAAGACCTCCAACATCGAGCAGCTCCGACAACGTCGCTACGGTCTAGGATATCATCTTCACCGCAGTCGCCAAGGCGCGAGTTGGTGCTATGGACCGGAAGTTCCTAGAAAGAGAAGACCGATATTTTCTTCGTGGACTCCGGACTGAAAGTGAACGCTGACATCGCACAACTTGTGAAGAATATGCTGCCTTCATGTCATTGCCTGCACCCTCTTGGAGACTTCGTAGTGCTACAGGATTGGGAGCCCCACACGGAGTCGAAGGGCGTTGGAAAAACTCTCGCCTACATGGAATGAAAGGGTGTTGAGTATCTGAAGAAGACGGTAATATCCTAAATGTGTCACCTAACCCAAAACCCCTCAATTACCGGGTTAGGGCGGAGCTCAGCAGGGTGGTGGCTACAGTAGCCGAGAAATCAACGATCTCGCTGAACTCAGGTACCAATTCACGGTCGCGTGGCAGAATCTCTCGATGGCGCTCGTCCAGAAGGCTGTGGCGGAGTATCATGATAGTATACAATATGCTGTTGAATATGGTGGTGGAAATGTCCAATCAGAATTTAATAAAGTGTAACTTATAGCGCCTTGAAATTCAAGGAAGTAAGGTTTTTTTGCCCCCCCCCCTCTATATGGACAGTCTTCGTCATCTCCTTCATCGAAGGGCTGTTCCTGTTTATTTGCATGGACAATGTAATGAAAACGTCCCGCTGCTGAGATACAGTAGGTGCAGTAGGAGTGTCAGTCTAAAGAACGCGCTAATCGAAAAATTGACTAACCATCTCAACGCAACTCACCTTTTGAGGCACGGCACATAGTTTTTTGTAAATTCTTGCTAGTTCCGCACCTCTTCTTCCCTCAAAGCCTGTGATGGACTCTTTTCTGATCGCCTTTACTGCCATGAATCTATGCGAAAGAACCTACCGTCTTTTGCAATCAAATCGAACGCTTCCAGAGCTTCCTAAAAACGTGAAAGTGATTCGGTATAGCAAGCACACTCATGAAGAAACGTTTCGCAGAAGGAAGCAGAAATATTGCCCAATAGGTAGAATCTCTCTTGCACAGGTACTTCGGTTAGCCATCTCGTTATGGTTCCACAGTGAGTGATGAGTAGGCTGCGATCGTCATGACTCGAAGGTACGTCACACAAGAAAACTATCTCACACAGTTGAGGACGAGATACATCAGTGATTTGCCTTTTATACAGGGTGGCTAAAAAGTAGCGGCCCCTCGTTTCCTATATCGTTTCCTGCATTCAGAGGAAGTTTACAGTTTTGCATAGATACGAAGCATTTTTATTCTGATTTCTGAAGACGTGTTGCTTTTTGGTATCTTCTTTTAGCGTGGCCGTTTGCCCACTGTGGAGGCGACAGCGGAATTTGTGCTCCTAGAACAGAGGAGTTCCACCACTACTTTCCAACGGGAAGCTTCACTTTAAAGTGCTAGAAATTTGCCAGTCAGTGAAAAACTGAAGGCTGAAAGACAGATTCACATGACGAGAGAACACGGCCAACTACGAAGGGCCAGTGCAATGAAGTTCCATTCGCTTATTAATATTTGAAGAAAAGAAGGACGACAGAAAATTGGTCTTAGAGTAGATAGCAAGCAGCCTGGAAGTCATTCGTGGGATTATCGGAAATATGGTGAAGAAGAGCCAAGGGCTTCGTAATTAGCGAACATATATAGACGAAGCCCGCGTGAAGGAACTGTTGTGACTAAATAAAAAATGTCCCACGATTTAACATAGTAGTTGCAGTCAAACAGTTCTAAGCAGATTAGCCCGACCTAGAAGAATTCTACAGAAAGAAAATCAGTCATGGTGAAACTGTCTCCGGAAAGCCACTATTTAGAATGTAATATGGTTCAGAGGTGATGAGCTTCCTCACTACTATCGACGTCCAACATGGAAACTTATATTCAGACACTTTGTAATATAAGATCTGCCATCAGAGACTAACTGCCTTTCGGCAGCCTGGTTGTGAACCAACTTGATTTTTCTGCGTGAGGTTTCACTGAGGAAATACTAGAAAGAGAAAAGCACCACTCTGAACACTCGCTCATTGACATAAATATATAAGTCTTAACCAATTTAGAAATAATCTTCTTGCGGCGCGCCCTCGATTCAGTCGTCTCGCGTTTGATGTCGTGTGTCAACGAAGGGCTGTTGCTCAGATGGTTTCTAGCACGATTTGTTACTCATGCCTTGCTGTGATATATCCAATAGAAACTTCGTCATGAAAAATGTGCATTTGTGAAATAGTAGAAGAGAAATAGTGGAAGATTAGTAGGCGCCCATACTTTTTTGACACCATGTATACATACAGTGGTGATACCGCATGATGTATACATGGTGTCAAAAAGGTTGTCACTGTTGTGATTTTTCTTACTTGTGTAGATCAACGCTGACCAATGCGATAAGGCTCAGAACATGTGATATCAACAGGCGCTGTCAGGAAAATAGGGGGATGGGGTAGTGTGTTCCAGCCAGCTATCCTGCTTTTGGATAGGTCTCACCAGGAAAGGTCAACAGGTCAGTACGGCCATTTGCAATGAGGTGCACATAGTTGTACTTGTCTTGGTTTTACTTGCCCTGCTCTTTTTATGTTCTTGGTACGATGAAACTGGAAACTATTTCCACAACTAGCAAAACGATTCTCTGAGCAGAGTTATAGAGGTTTTTCTTTGGTGCTACTCCAAGTTAGATAGAAATATCAGGTTCGGTAGAAACTTGTCCCAGAGGCAGCTTGACCCGCTTTGCATGAATATCATGCTTTTCTTTGCCAAAACCCTTGTGGCATGTTTACGAGGGGGACAAGCACGAGCTTCCTTCCAGCAACTATGCAAAAAAAACTCCAACAAACATCTGCTTCTTTCTTTAGAGCCTCTGCATTCTTGAAGAATTTCTCTATGTTCTGCTTCAATTCCTCGTTCGTGACTTCTTCTGCTCCCTCTTCTATATTAAGGTCCTATATCACGTCGCTTTAGTAAACTGCTTTCTGCGTTTCTGTTGTTTCATAAACTCACCACCCCGTACTTGATCATTAGACTGCCATTGAGAAATAACGGTATTCCAAACGCGATAATAAAATTGGAACCTCTCCCGCAGTTTGATAGGAACGTGCTGGAACAAGCTATGAGTTTGTCGGAATTAGTAGGAATATGGTATCAGTAGTATATTATAGTTCGTTGCGGATGAAGAGGCTTGTCAGGCAGTAGGAGTGTGCCACGGCGCCAAACTCGTGCTCTGCCAGTCACTGGAGTGGGTACGCGACACCAGTTGGAAGGGAACGTCACTTGCTCGCTTACAATTGGTGAAGAACGGATCTGGCCATGCGCCAATTCAACCCCTCCCCCTTGACACATTACTTGGTCCGCAGCGAACTAGACTGTAAATAGAATTACATACGGCTATGCACAGTGCACACCGTTTCAGCGGACTCCTTTCCCAAATCATATTGCAAGCATAGCTTGTTGGCTACCGCGTGTGAATGTGGAAGAGTACTAACAGCGTTCATGCTTTCGTTCCTATACTACAACTTTTTCAATGCTCTACTATTTCAAGAACAGTTTCTCGAGCTCTGCAAGGAATTCCATCACCTGGTTTTCCCTTATTAGTATCACGGGGTTTCTGGAAACCATGCTTCTTCCGGAAAGAAGAAAGTCAGGAGTAACCTCCAAAGGAAAGCGCGAAATGTTCCGAATGAAATGGAAGTGTTTACGAGATTGGTTATGAGATTTGCGAGGCTGCAAAAACCAGTTCCCAACGTAATACATGGTATTGCAGAACCATGAGGGAAATTTTCTCATAAAGGAGGAATAGCATCAACTTCAATCAAAAGTTTCGATTCTATGGATAGGTACGTTGTTTCATACCAGGAGAGGTGAATATGTTAGTCTAATTATTTGCAATGAGGTGTATAGCAGTAGATGCGCCTCGAGACACCGAGCTCGAATCTGCTTTCATAGTTTCATATGTTTTTTTGTAGCTAGCGAAACGATTCCCTAAAAGGACTTGCTAAGGTCTATTTCTTACTTTGCCATCCCTCACATCTCCTGTCTTTACCACAAAAATATTTGAGAAGCACCAAGTGCAAGTGGCAGAGGTCTTACGAATAGGTACGCTGTTTCATAGAAATGATGTCGGGTCCTTCACAGAGGTCCGTTTTGCTTTTATTTTGAGAATTTTAATGTGAGCCCGTAAAGGTTCAGTTCAATTATACTGCCGATTTGCAGTCTTATTTGGCGCGGGAAGATTGAAACTCCGGAATTTCGTCGTGAATGTTTCTTACAGTCCTTAAGTCTTAAATTACGAAAATAGCAGGGAAGGTGGACCACAATCGTCTCGGTCTTGTTCGTTCTGCTGAAGCTAAATTATAATATGTGCTGACGAGCATGAAAACGAGATCATCCGCGCACACACGAATGGCATCCTACCTTTTTTTTAATTTGAGCTGCTGAGAAGGATCTGTTGTCGCCGTGTCGGTTCATCGTCCTTTGAGTCTTTCCAAATCCACTCACCTGAGTTCAACGATGAAATCCGAATTATTAGCTAGTCTAAGGGTTTCATTGGGATAACTTTCTTCATCAGCAGAAGCCTCGTGACATGTGACCATATAACCGTCGTAAGCTCCCCATCTGAAATATTTTCAGGCAATATTTTGCGTTTTATAAATCGGTGGTACGTTTGTGTTGTTTTATTTTGGACCTAGCCGATCAGGACAGCTATAGTAGCGACTCCATTCCTACCTCCTTTTTCCGATAGAGAATACGTTGTACCGTTTTTTCTGAAAAACCCATGAAGTGAGAAAGCAATACGGGAAACCACGAGGAATAGGCAGCAGAGGCAGACAAAGCCTAACTGACAACAAAACGGAATGTTAGAGTACTCTGGCACCAACGATGCATTGGTTCCAACAGTTGGTGTAGTTCAAGACGAAGGCATTGATGGTAAGTGATGAAAATGATAACTACCCATAAGCTTTTTTGCGGAGCATGATAACACAAGCGCAATTGAATTCATTACGCGTCTTGGCTGTCACAAGTGGTGTGAGTTGGGAAGGAACATTAGTCCAGGTCCACTGAGACTGATAATAACTAAATCAAAGGGCGGGGCGTCAAAATGTATAGTTAGTTTCATTGTGCCCTCACACTGACGGTGGAGCATTCAGATTGGCAAACGTAAACGGTTGTGGAACTGTGGTACCAGGATGGATGACGCACGTTGATGACGGATGAGATGGTTTATACAAGTTCACAGATGATATAAGTAATGACGGGGTCTATGAGCACTATGTTAATGGCAGTACTCGAAATCGGTGTGACAGATGTGCATAGTAATGCTAACTACGCCAGGGCTCAATACTGCTTGAATTATTGCACTATAAACAAGGGAGACACAACCTATTCCCACTTCAGTCGCACTGAGGACGCAGCTCACTCAACCACTGGACAACACGAAGTTGTGGGAACCATAGGTATTCAGAGATTTGTGATACGTGAGGAGTATCGCTAATTGGGTGATGGGAACCACCAACTGCCTATGAATGATGTTCAGTGGTTTAGAAAGCGAGCACTGCTGCGCATATATCCGGTATTTTGGAAGATAGGCCCAGTACACCACTACTAAAAGAAGCAAGTGGTTATTGATTGTTAGGCTCGCAGGGGGTGGTATGAAAAAAAATGTCACTGAATTTCTCACGTATCACGTTGGACATGCAGCAAATCCGGGACGGGGGGGGGCAAGGCAACTAAGCCAGTCCAAAAGCTCTGCAGTGCATGGAAAGTTCGCATTGCAACGGTAAATGTGGGGGCGTTGACTGGACGCTCACCCGTATTGGCTGAGACACTGGAGCGCCTACGATTAGATCTCTGTTATGTATCAGATCTCTGCAGGTAACAAGATGGTCCAGTTATGAGTTGAGAGACCTTGGTCGGCTTCAAAGCCTTTCTTAATGGCAAGCCAAATTATCAACGGCGTGGCTGTGATCGTATCGACGTTTCCATTACTTGATATTAGGTTGTCGCTTATACACGTGTTTGATCCTCTCCTAATTTCGTTCGCATGGATGTTGGTATTACGTCATCACGTGTGCGTGACGTGTACATTATACTCTTTCATTACACTAGCTATCACTCACCGAGCTTGCATTTGCAGTACACAATGTCGC